ACGGCCAGTAGCTTCAACAAGAATAATTCCCCAGACACACTCACAATATTCGACATTGACACCAGTGTAGTTGCACAGTACAACATTACCCCCTGTGTTGCATATTTGAGAACGGGAACTACTCATGGGGAGTTTATCAGCTGACTCTGAAAACCTCGTTGTAACTTGGAATAGATAGTTAATGATGAATGCACAGCTTTGATTTTGCAATGGTAAACAGGAAAACAGGCAAATCACGGAAAAGTATTTCATCCCGTGAAAATAGCGCCCACAATAGTGCAGTCATATTTAGCTCAATGGTCGGAATAATCGGTTGGATTTAGTAGATCATACTCTATTGCAATTCCATTGCATGTTAGTGCATTAGTTTGTCCCTTTGGCTTATAGAAAATGTATGGTATAAAAATTCATTTTTTTCGAGACTGGTCTCGAGACATACAATTGGTAGATTTGATACACAGCGAATAAAATGTTTGACGTACAACACACTGAAATGACGAAAAGTACGGAAAAGTTGCTGTTACGAAATTACACTCGCTCGCTTGCTATTCGTCAACTAATTTGGTATCAGAAAACTACTTAAGATTTTCTTCTCTCAAACTGTTTGATAGCTAAGAAAGTTAATGTTACCGTTTAAAATGAACTATGTTACATACTCTCCACTGACCGAACACATACGCTGTGACCAAATTGTAGCCATCGAAGAAGGCCAATATTGAAGCAAATGAGCAGAAGCACCTCTGTTTTATTGTACAACTGACTGCACAAAGTAGAATACGGCAAACGCACTACTATGCCACATCAAAACTTTCACAAACTCACTGATGAAACATTCGTAATTGAAATGACGCGTCTTGAGTTGAACGAACCACGAAGCACTTATCTCAGGAGCGCAAAGAACAAATCGTTGTTGCCAATATCGCATATTTTTTACGCTTAATTGGAAAGACTCAACAATTTCATAGTCCTTCAAGGCAGCAGCTAATATACAAAATATTGATGACTTATTGTTCCCAGAAGCCAAGTGTGCAAGCAGTCGGAATTTTCTCATTCCAGAAAAGTTGAAATACTGAATGATAAATATTGCTTTTTCCCATTTTCATGAATGTGAATGGTTTAGCAGATTATAAAATAACCATTTGAGGAGCCCAGGCTCTGTGAATGTTGATTCTAGTTGATCATTATAATTTGTGGAAATGATAAGAACGGAAGTTAAAGATCGAACACCTGTGGCATCTTAAACTCTCAGGATAGATCTGGATGATAAGCAAATTTAATTGTTGCGTAGCTGGATACGCGAGACGATAAGAAAGTTAAATTGATGGTTTCTTGATTAGGAAAATCTGAGATGGAATAACAGCAAAAAAATATCGGGAGAAATCAGCTAAAATCATTTTACTAACCACCTGAATCTTTAATAAAATTATAAATGCAGTAAAAGGAAAATTTCGCACTTCATTAATGAAATCATTAATAATAATACAGTTGCGACGTTTTTTTGACATATTACAGTCATCTCTTATATCGAAAATATCTGTCATATTCCCATTGTGACAATTTAATGGTGGTAATATTAGGAATAAAACAATAATACAGTAAGAACAATTCATTGTTTTGTTCA